TGAGATCCATGGGCACAGACCCGCTCGACGAGCTGTTGAAGTGTGCATTCCAACCAAGTCGTGCCGACTTGAAATCGACTTCGGCGTTCAATGTCATATTCACCGCTTCTACAAATGAAGACGGATGCACACGGAGGACTTCCATTCTGGCCACGTCAGCGCGAAAGCCCTTTATAAAGACGGTCGATGTGACCGTCTCGGAAAGAGAATCGGCTGCCATACCGGCAATGAGAGCACGCAACTCTTGGATAGGCTTGATAAATTTCTTCTTGCCATGTCGAGCGGCAAGGAAACACGATGGCACGCGATATGCCGGGCTAGGCGGCGAGAAAACGCATCGGCTTAACACTGCTAGAATTATCTGACATGGCAAAAATTAGCTTGTGAAAAGATATGTTCGTGCCAAGTTTAGTGTGCACCTGTCGGCTTCAAGCTGTTTGTGATCCATCATGGCCCACCTTTACACCATCACCAGGTCTCTTAACGAGAGCGGCTAAATGGTTATCCGTCTTGCCCGAGAAATTCCATAAGGTTTGGTATAAGGGAGGGGGGTCAGCTGAATGTGCCGGATGCACTTTCGTTTTTATGCCAAATCGTTGAGATGTCTACTGATAAAGTAACACGTACAGCGTATAGGTCAGACGCTTTGTGCGTTGCTAAAAGTTTTGAAAGCCAGAGACAAATGTCGCATTTATTATAGCGTGCGATTACACGCCTGCAATGCTATGCCTGATTCCAAGGCTCGCTGCATCAGAGCACCGACCCAGCGTATTCTCGTTCTATGTGCAGCGGTGCGTTATGACTTAAAGCACAGACTTCTGTATGAGGCACAACATACCCTCTGAGAGGCCACCGCGGAAGCTCAAAATCAAAATTCCCTATAGTAGTGCCCAACATTTTTGAACAGGTAATCACATATGTGCGAACGTGTGAACGGTGTCAACGGGTGAATTTTTACCGCATGCGACGGCATGTCTGACCAGTTTGCCGATTGGATGAGCCATAAGTATATTTCAATTTGTATTTTGATAAAAGTCGCGTTTGGTGATGCCGGCGTTGTAGTTTTTGAGGACCGTCTGAGCAAGAATGCTCATTTTGTTGCTGTCAAAGGTTTCTTAGTAAACAATTGTGCCAGCACGGCTTGCCTATAGCTGTAATGAATAGATTTTTGCACTTTGTAGCGCAGCATTGAAAAACATTGTTTTAGATGCTAAATGGAGAGATTTCAGATTGCTTGAAATCGTATTCATGACGTCGTTTGGGCGAAAGTAGGCTTGATTTTACCGTTTGCAGTGCGACAAGCTGGACTCATTCAGCCAGGCCCAGTTCGTATCGAACGAGCTGAACAATGTCCTGGGCTGTGCCGAGACACTTCTCGCCGACAGAATAGGGTACAGATTCCAAGACTCGTGCAGCGGGGAGGCAGAGCTCCGCGAACCTTATCTCATTGGCAATCAACAACATCGTGCATCGCCAGATACGTGCGTTGGTGCTCAGCTGGGACTCGGCGAGTCATTTTGAACCACATGATCGGTGATAATGATAATCGCTGGCAAAAGTCTTAGCTTGTTGGTCGCGAAGACCGCACCCTTGACAGGTGATTGTTGGGCCATCAAGTTGTACACGGTAGCGGATTCTCAGTGAAAGTATGCAATGAAGAGAATGTATGGTTAATGCAGAGACTGAAGTGGAACTCCAGGCACAATGGTTGCTAGTGGAGCGGTGACTCTTGCGCATTGCCTAAAAAAACAATATACTTACATCTTATCGGAAAAGGGAAACGAGGAAATTACTGTGTTTTGATCACTTTTCCCTTACACAATCAGTAATAAAAGCACGGTACAATTGTAAGAAATCGATAAGAAACTTGGTGTTTATTGTAAATCTCCATAAATACAGGAAAATCAGTGCTAATACATCTCCCGAAGAATGTTTCCAAGGTACTCGTAGGATGCTAGCAGATGACATTTTATTATGTGATATAGTATCGCACGTACTTTTTGGTTTTGTTCTGAATTTAATTTAATTGCATATGTACTCTTGAAATAGCAAGGTAATCTTGCTGTGTTGCTTATCAGGTGCTCTTTATTCCGCTAGGAGCGACCGATCTAATCCTCTGGAGTTTTTTGAGAGTCACAGCTCCTTCTGTGCTTCTTTGTAGCTTATTATCATCCACGGCGCAGATTAAATATGAATTTAAACATTGAGTAGTTGCATCTATTGTTAGTTATTAAATGCAGAAGCTTCATCGTTCCTACCAATGTTTACATTATATATCATCATGGTCGCAAACGTTGCTACTGGCCCAAGGTGGCACTTCAGCCAGGAAGAAATGAGCATGTTTTCTTGGCCACACAAGCAAACGCCTCGGTCAGTTGTTGATTTGCAGAAGTTTCTGCTACTCGCTTGTATTCCAAGAAAATATATCATGATTGTACGCTAGCAGCATTAAAAAGCAAGTTTTATAAGGTCCACTATGATATCCTTTTTTAGTACCAATATATAAAATATTGATTTATTAATGCAGCACCATACCAAACGCAAGGTGGTTGATCTTGTGCAGCGTTTTAACGAATGCGTAGGTGCTGCAGCACGAAAAGTGTATACGCAGCAGATATCAGCCATAGAACTTCTGCAGCGTCCGCAGTGCGAGATTCGACAGCAGCTTCCCGAGATTTGCGCATTTGTGGACTCTCTCAGCGGCAAAACCACAGCTGCTCCTCCGTCTTCACTAGTGCGCTGTGCCTTTCGACATCCAGATGCGCAGTGGCTGAATCGCAGTGCCCGCGAGAGCGGGATATCAGCGCTAATTTGCCAACAGTTAGTAAGACTGGCGAGACAGGACAATAAGGTAGACTTAAGTGATGAAAATATGATATATTGGCCGCCAGCAGAGCTCATCATGCACGTTTTGCTGGATGCATTGCTGTTGCCTTGCACAAAGCGACTGGGTAAAGCTCCAGATGCTTGCAAGTGGTGTGTGACTCAATCAAAGCCAAGATTTCACGCTATGACGTGTTTCCCAGTGTGGTCGACTTTGCTGCCATTTGCGGCGCTAATGGGACTTCGTTTTCCGGAAATATTTTCAAAAGTACTTCAAGATTTTTCCGGAAATCAGAGACATCGGGTCAATTGTGATTTTGCACAGATTCTTGGAATGTGGAGATTAATGGAGGAGTTTAATCGAGGAGACAAGGAAAATCAGAGTGCTGTGACGAACGCGATGATTCAATTACTAAAATTTGCTAGTGCTAAAGTGATTGGACAGATAAGGTCAGGCCAGTACAAAAAGAAAGTTGCGGGCTCGCATTTGGATGACCAGCTTCTGGAAAAGTTTTTCACGGGATTACAAGAATTTGCCTTTAAAAGCGGGAGATCAAATGCAGTGATAAAGCCTGCACTTTTAAGCGTATTGCAGAGCTCATTTTTGGACTTGGAAGGTCAAACAAAGATTGTTGATATGCCACAACATTTGGCAGCATTTATGGCAGCGGGATGTGTGTTTGTCCAGGGCTTAGCGTCAGATATTGTTTCAATGCTGATCGAACGGCTTAGTGACACGACAAACAAGTGTGAACTTACCAAAGAATTTCTGCTAAATATTCTTGTGGGGTTTTGTGCCTATGTGGACTTAGTCTCGTTGCCGTCAGTGCTCGACTTACTTAACTTGATAATTGCTGCATATAAAGCGGTTGAGCAACAGACAGACGATGTTAATGGCCAGCAACAACAACGCTTGAAATATGTTTTTTATCTTGTTTACGTGGCGTATCATCGATATCAAAATGTTGACATTCTGTGCCAGGATCTTAGTTCTCAAAGCGCGATGTTCAAGCTCATTCTTTCCGAGTTTCAGACGCGTCTGTGCAGTGACATCGCTCTTGAAGATTTTTGCGTAGCTGCTCCTTTGCATTGGATGGTAAAAGTCTGGAAGCACTGGGTATTTCTTTCTGACGAAGACGTCCAGACATTTGTGTTAGAAGCTGAAGATCAAGATAGGGCGACCGAGCAAGAATTTGAGAATCGAGTCGGTGCTTGGCAAGTGCTCCAGGACCGCATGGCCTTTAGACCGGCATCATTCTCGTCATTCCCGCATATGAACACTTTACTAAAGCCGCATTTGATCTCGCCTTTACCGCTTACAGATCTAAGGGATGACGATGGAATGATCGTGCAAGCACGAAAGCGCCGTCGAAGTGATTATTCTACGATCACTTCAGTTGATTCCGTTCAATTTACACGTTCGCTTGATGTGTTGCTGTTGCCTGACGTCATGGAGCGCGTGTGCTCATTTATGAGTGCCAAGCGTCTCTGTCGAATGGCACTAGTATGTCGCACGTTTGCACACATCAGTCATCGAGCTTCGCTGTGGCAACCGCTTTATATACATATCGGTAATTCTACGGGAAAGTCAGCACAAGTAGAATGTCACCACGGTGAAAAATTTATACACAATTGGCAAAAACTTTACCAGGAGCGATGGAAAGTGTTGCGAAGACTACGACGTCTGCGTGTTCGAGCGATTAAACGCGATATATCTCAGGAGCAGGAAGGCAGACCATCTGTATCCAGTAGAATAGCTTCAGCCTTCAGCCAGCAGATTTGCTCTTTCTGCGGCTGCAATTACGTGCTTAAGTCGGCCGCGGATCTCGAATTTCACCAAATGCAGCACAAGCGTTGGACCTGTCGAGAAGTGTCTTGTAAAGCTTCATTTACTGGTCAGCAAAAGTTTAACGTACACATGAGGCAGCATAGTGCCGATCGATTCGAGTGTGGCTTTGAAAGCTGCCAAAAAAGTTACAAGACACTAAAGTGGCTGAACTCTCATCGTCAAAAAGAGGGACATTACATTCCACAATCCCAATAACAATGAGGAAACATCGTAACAATATTATTGGAATTAGAATTTGTTGCAAGGCACAAAATAAAGCTCAAGATTACGAATAAATATAATAAATATTGTTATTGTAGTCTTTTTTGAAATCAATATGTACTGTACCTCTCCCTCAGTCTTGTTTCGCGATAACCTTGACTGTTATGGCGCAAGCGGGCGATAATGACACTAGGCCGCTGCCTCCACTCACGCTTGCTAGTCAGGATGGAAGCAACGAGGACAAGACCGTTGCGTTAGTGGCTACATGTTCTTTCATGATATCATTGGCGCTAGGATTTCGGCTGTTGGGCATGTACTTGGCGAAGACCCGCCAACGACGTAAGCGACTTCGTCTTGTTCCTGGTTTTGGTATATACGTGCCATTTCCAGTAGCATTACACGCTTTAGACGTAAGCGTTTTTGTGGTGCTTTGGTATGCGGTTAGTATTGGTATGACATTATTTAACAAGTGGTTCTTACGAGTCTGGGCGGGTAGCGGCTATCCGTTCGCGACGACAATGACGTGCATCAACATGTTTGTCAAGTGTTTACTATCAAGAGTGATTGATCGATGTCTTAGCAATGAAAATGGGTCAATCATGGCGCTTCCTTCTAACATCTATTGGAAGCTAGCAGTGCCAATCGGTCTATGCACTGCGTTGGATATTATGCTATCGAATCTGTCGCTGTTTTACATCACAGTGACATTCTATACAATCGTAAAATCAGGAGGCAATGTATGGAATTTGCTCTTCTCTATATTGCTGGGCCATCAACGCCCTTCCTGGCATCTTTTTGGAGTGATTTTGTTGATCTCAAGTGGCATTGGACTTGCTAGTTATGGCTCTGCGCACTTTGTCCTAAACGGCTTTTTACTTGTATTAGCAGCGTCAGTGATTGGAACTTTAAGGTGGGTATTGACCCAGTCAATGCTGCAAGCAATGGAAACTACCCATGGGGCCTCAAGTAATAAAGTACTGGCTGTTGTGTATTACGTGTCGCCAGCAAGTGCGATCGGACTCCTCCCGATTGCGCTTGTTTCCGAAGGAAGCGACTATGCGACGTCAAGGTTCATGCTTGATTCACAATTGTTGTTCATGTCACTATTCTTTATCTTCATCAGTGGATGTCTGGCGTTCGTTTTGATATTTATTGAGATATTACTGGTCAAGAAAACATCGGCGCTGTCTTTGGGAATTGTGGGTAGTTTTAAAGACGTCACGCAAGTGCTGCTTGCCGTCTTTATTTTTGGTGATCAGCTCATTGCCATCAATGTTTGCGGTCTCGTTGTGGCTACATGCGGGATGCTGTTATATACTTACATCAAGCACATAATGGCAGATGCAGCAGAGGATGCAAGAAGTGCAAAGCTGAAGGGATACGAGCGCCTTTCAACCTCCCAATCTGATGTAGAAGGTGGCAGTCAGATTCAGCTCAAAGGTAGCAATATATTATCGAACAACGACGATATCCCAGAATTTCACATGAAGAATGAGAGAAAAGACTTGACATTAGGAACCAAGTCGCATAGCTCTTTGTTAGGAAATGATTTGGTGCGGCGAGAGAGCAAGGACTTTGATACCTCTCACGTATGACAAATCTCTCACGTATGACAAACACACAGATACTTTGTAATATTTGACTTCCCAATCTGTCTGCTTAACGTATTGTCGTTTGACTAATGGACGATACTCACTTTGTTATGCCGTCTCTTACAAGTGGTGAGTCAAGTCATTCACGAGACTACAGGGGTGAATATTCACGTAAACGCCCATCGCGACAAGCAGTGAATATGCGACCACTTTGGGCTCCAATCGCGACTCCGCGAACGGCGTCATACTGTGGACCAGTTAGCTCCGTGGACACATGAGGCGTTTCTCCAAGATTGCTCCACTTGCTGCACACGCCGTCGCCATGGGCGGTCCATATACTTCCAGATGAGGTGTTATTATCAGAATATAGCGCTGAAACTACAACACTATGGATCGGCGCCGAGCTCCGCGACAAGGCGTGCAATGGAGTCCTACATTAAAGATGGATGAGCATTCTATCTCAGTATCTATTACATAGCGTGCGAACCTAAAGTGGCGAAGATCCCAAACTGTCAATAATCCATCTTCACTTCCAGTAAAAAGCATTGGCACTGACGCTGTCGCAGTTGTAGCAGCACACGAAAGAATCGAACCAGCAAGGTTCTCGAGATTTAAAACCTATCATGGCCAAGATTAATCAGTTCCCTTCCACTCACTATCAGCTTATCGGCTCATACCGCTGCTCGCGCACGGATGTCCACTCCAAGCATCTCTCCGTTATCCAGCCCGGCGTAAAATACTTTTCCGTCCGTCTCAGCTTCATTCTCACTTATATGTGGCTGACTATCACCTTTAACAAATAACTGGGCAGCATCATGCATGACTGACAAGCAGTGGACCGGACTTTGATCGTCATTTGCCCACTTGGCAATGGCGTCTTGCGTCCCACAATTCCATAGTTGGATTAGGCCGTCGTTTCCGCATGCTGGATACGTCAATGCATAGCCCTAGTTGTCAATATCATTACGCCAATTGAATTTCTGACTACCACTTTTGAACTTACACAACACATTTCTGCCTCTGCCAAGGATCACAACATCCTCAATTCCTCCTAGATGCCCTTTCATTACTGCAGCACACCTTCCCTGTACGCTCCAAATTCGTAAGGTAAGGTCTAAAGAACCTGTAAGCACAACTTTCGAACTTGGGAAGAAGCGAGCCCTGGTGACATCAGCTACATGGCCTTTTAAAGGCAGCATCTGGGCTCTATTCTGCTTATCCCAGAGCATGCAGGCTCCATCGGTGCCTCCAACAACTACATATCTCTCATCTTGACTTACATCCACTGTGTACAGTTGCAAAGTTTGTTTATTGACGGCCTCTAGTTCTGAGCTCGGGATGTCCACCGTCTCATTTGGAGCTTGAAATATTGTCCTTAGCTTCTTTATAGACGTTTTGTCCTGTTGCGCCACTTCAATCTCGACCTTAGAGATATCTCGATTGCAGATTCGTGCGTAATGTGGCCCTGAAGAGGTCTGTTCATCTATTGACAGCGGTAATTGGTATTGGATACTCGGACTGGATTGCACCTCGGCTACCAAGTGTTCGTCTGGATCGACTGTATTGACGTTAGATGGCGCGATTTTTATGTTGCGTTTGTATACATCTAGCCAGAAAAATTCGCAGGCATTAGACCAGTCAGGCTGGATTTGCATATACGTTTGCGCGCCTAGTGACGATGTCTCGGATATGGTCACTTCTTTCATATTGACTTGATGAATTGCTGATACCGGTAGATGAAGCCTTGCTATCGGTAACTTATCAATACTTGAGTACATGGATGGTAATTAAAAGACTTTCCAATTTGCCGGCTATCCCACAAGTTGAATTCAAGAAGCCTCTCCCAGCTCGCTAGCATTCTCAGCCTCAACTTTCCTTATGGAG